GTTCTGGGCAGGACCATGCAGTGCAGACTCTGGTGAGGAAGGACAAGAAGGACAGTCACAACAGGGACTGCAGCCCAGCATGAGTTTATTGGATTCTGGCGGTACACTCCTGCTTGATGAAGTTGATCAGCCCATTGGTGGAAGAATCGTGAGAGGTCACTGGGCTGCTGCCATCAAGCTCAGGCTCAATTTGCTTAGCCAGCTGCTTTCCCAGCTCCACTCTGCCAGGAAAAGGAGAAAGAATTATATGAGGAAGGTTCCAGTACTGCTAGTGAAATCCACAAGCATTCCCACCCTCTCCTTGAATCAGCAACTCACCCCCATTGGTCAAAGCTGTTGATGTCCCAGATGATGCCCTGAACGAAGATCTTGTGCTCATACATGGCTGCAGAGGTGACAGATAGTGCACATTTAGGGCTCTACCAGCCCAGTACAACTTACCCCAAGCTGGGACCTTCCCCACTCACTTACCAATTAAGGCTCCAAGAATGAATGGTGTGAGCATGGTAAACATAATAGAGTTGGTTGGACGATTTCCTTCAAAGACCTTCAGAAAACACCCAGGAGGAGCCCCCGGTTAGTTGTGATCCCTAAGTCCTCAGAAGGGAAGCCCTCCCTGCCCCAGAAGCTGGGATATGTAGGTCTTTTAGGATGGCCCCTCCTACTGTGGACAAGCCAAGCAAATCATGAGCCCTGCCTTAGCCCCACAACTTTATCCTTCCAACTCCAATATGCCACCCAAACCCCACTTCAGAAGTGCTTACCTTGTGTGGCAACAGCTTCTCCAGGTCCTCTGGGCCCCTTCCTGCAGCCTGGAGCTCCTTCCGAGCCTCCTCTGTCGTCTTCCCCCTCATCAGGGCCTCAGTCTGGGCCAAGAAGTTGGCCAGGAGGATCTGACGAGAGAGACATCCAATTTTGCCTGGAAACTGTCTGAGCTTCAGGCCGAGGGATGAGACCACTTGGCACTTGGCAGTCAGAGTTAGTCCAACACGGGCCAGACAGCCGTCCCCACTCTAGAGCTCAGCTGGAGCAAGGGGACAGCAAGGCACATCTGACGACACCAGAAAGTAGGTAACTATCCTTTAAGGAATATGTACTACTTGTCAAGGGCCCTACTAAGAACTTAACTGACATCTAAGATTCCGAGTAGGAAAGGCATCATCTCTCTTGTAGTTGAGCCTCTTCAAGTGAACAGCACTGATTCGCAGAAGTACGAGGGGGAGAATCAGAATTCAAACCCAGGTCTCTGAGTGCAAATCTGGTGCCCACAGTAACCCATGCTACTCTGCATACCTGAGATGAGGTATGACTGATCCTCTTAATGGACTTTAACAGGTTAGGAGTTAGATGATTTCCCCATTTGCTACTCTGTAGGCAAGATCTTGGCTCAGTGATTTTTTTTACCCGCTGCCGTTACACCTGTGTATGTTACATTACATGGCAAAAAGGATTTTACAGATGGAATTAAGGTCACAGCACGGCCGGTGTGGCTCAGTGGTTGAGCGTTGAGGTGACAGCCCTCAAAGGCTCTATGAACCAGGAGGTCACGGTTTGATTCCCAGTCAGGGCACATGCCTGGGTTGTGGGCTCCATCTCCAGGAGCGGGTGTGCAGGAGGCAGCCAATGAATGATTCTCTCTCATCATTGATGTTTCTATCTTTCCCTCTCCCTCTCCCTTCCTCTCTGAAATCAATAAAAATATATTAAAAAAAAAGAATTAAGGTTACAGATTTTAAGATTTGGAGATCATGCAGGTGGGCCCATGTGATTAAAAGTAGATGAGGTCCCTAACCAGTTTGGCTCAGTGGATAGAGCGTCAGCCTGCGGACTCAAGGGTCCCAGGTTCGATTCCGGTCAAGGGCATGTGCCTTGGTTGCAGGCATATCCCCAGTGGGGAGTGTGCAGGAGGCAGCTGATCGATGTTTCTCTCTCATTGATGTTTCTATCTCTCTATCCCTCTCCCTTCCTCTCTGTTAAAAAAAAAAAAATCAATAAAATATATTAAAAAAAAAAGTAGATGAGGAAGGCAAATGAGTCAGTCATAGAGATGCAACAAAAGAGAATCAAAGCTTGAGAGGGACTCAACCCACTACTGCTGACTCTGAGATGGAGGGGACCACGAGCCAAGGTGGCTTCTAGTAGCTGAGAATGACCCCCCGGCCGCCAGCCAGCAAGGAAACTGGATCTTGGTTCTAACCTGAGCAGAGACCCAGCAGAGCCTGGTGGACTTCAGACCCACAGAAACTGAGATAATAAATGGGTGTGGTTTTAAGCCACTAAGCGTGTGGTCTTTGTTATGGCAGGAATAGAAAACTGCATCAGGTCTTATGAGGTCTGGTTGTAATGTGAGCCTAGGAAAGCGTGAGGAGGGTCTGGATGGGGCTCTTACCTTGTGATGCAGACCCTTCCTTATTGGGTGCTGGGTCTGAACCGGGATGAGGAAGTCACAAGGTATCATCTTGGTGCCTGTGAATGGCACTGTGGTCACTCAGGCACTACTCCAGCCCACAGGTGACAGCACTGACCTCATGGAGAAGTCTGTGCTGGTGGGCCCTCTCCCTCCCAGCAGCACCTGTGCCCAGGCCAGGTGGGCCCTACCTTGGTGGATGAGCTGGTAGAAGGCATGCTGGCCATTGGTCCCTGGCTCCCCCCACACAATGGGGCCCGTCTGGTGGTCCACACGGGTACCGGACTTGGTGATGTACTTTCCATTGGACTCCATGTCACCCTGGAATGTGGACAGAAACCAGCCCTCTCTCTGCAAGTGCTGCTCCCTCGTGCACTGTGCCCAAATCCTGCCTGGGATGTAGCAGGCATTCCTGCCCTGCCCTGGCCCTGAGAGATATCCCCAAGCATGATCCTTTTATCTCCCCTCACCCGTGAAGATACAGGCTCACAAGCTTTCTAGCTTAGACCACTCTGCGGGAAGAAGCCATGACTAGGAGAAAGTAGGTATGAAGGTTCCAGGAAGAACTCCCTAAGGGAAGAAATTGGTCACAAAATCTTCAATTGGCTTCTTAAGGGAGAAGCAGGCTGGCATCCAGAGTGAAGAGCCTTTGAGGGCTGTCACCTCAACTAGATACTGGGCCTTGGGGTGTCTTTGCCCTCCTTCAAGCACAGGATTCACCTGCAGGTGCTGGTGAAAGTCTGCTGTGCCTGCCCAAGGGCTGCAAGGCAGGGACTGGGTTTGTGCTAAAGCAAAGCAAAGGACAGATGAGGAAGGGCTGCCTGCCCAGAGCGGAGGCTGGACTAGGGGAGGGGCTCTGGAGATTCCCGCGGGGGACAGAGGGCTGTGAACAGCCCAAAGAGGCACCACAAACTGGGTGTGGACTTGCTTTTCTGGAGGAACAAAGGAGTACAAACCATAGGGGTCCTGACCTGTGGCCCCACCCTATCGCAGGCACACAGAGTGATGTCCAAGGAAAAAACCACCCGGCTGAGAAACATGCCCTGAGCCAAGCCAGGACTTAACTGGCCAGGGCTCCATGATAACCAGTCATGCCCCTCCCATGGAAATCAAACTTGGCTGACACTCAGCTCAAACAGATCCTGGATGCAAAAGGTTCACCCTGAGATGGGGAGCAGAGGTCGGCCTTGGTCATGCCCAGGGGTAATAGATGTGCAGGAAGCTGGGTGCCTGGACTCACAGGCCTCTCAGGCCCCCCACAGGCTATGCTGACCCCAAGGCCTGGCCGGGCAGCTAGTACCTGCTGGAAGTAGGCAGCAAAGCGGTGCAGGTACTGGTCATAGGGCAGCATGGCATGTGTCTCACACCCAAAGCAGTTGATGTACCAGACACCCAACAAAGCCAGCAGGACGGGGGCATTCTTCTCCAGGGGCGTCTTGCGGAAGTGCTGATCCTGAAATGAGAGCCGGGTGGGTGAGCCTTTTAGGTTCTGTGCCCACAGAACCTCAGGCTCCCTGCCAGGGAGGGGAAGGGGAGGGGAGAGGAAGGGTGGGGAGGGAGCTGGACTAAGCACAGGTCTCTGGCCAGAGCTTGGCAGAGAACACAAGCCTCCGTACTTACCATCCAGTGAGCCCCCGAGAGCAGCTGCTCGAAGTTGTCAAATCCTGTGACACAAAAGCAGTGTCAACAGAAATGGTCATGCCCTAAGCCCTCCTGGCAGTGGGCACAGCTTCTTCTGGAACCAGGGAAAGGTTAGATGGGAGCCAGGAGAAAGAGGACCTGGGAGGAACTGGGCCTGCAGAAAGCCTCTCTAGTCGGATCAGCTCTGAGCGCAAAGGTGGATCTAAACGCCTCGCACGAGAAACGAGGCGTTCCCAACCCCTCTGGGAAACAAGCAGGACTGCAGCCGTGAGGGGGAGAGAAAGGCCAACCTGCAAACCCCAAAGAAAACTTGGTCCATCCCTCTTGACCTGAAAGAAATGGACCAGCCAAGGGCAGCAAGGCCAGGGGCCTGTGGGAACAGGAAGGTGCTCAGTGACATGAGCACCTTCCAACCTTAGACTTTCAACATCATCTCCCAAACCAGAAACAGACACTCACCCACGTGCAGAGCAATGGAGAGTCCAATGGCTGACCATAGCGAGTAGCGTCCTCCTACCCACTAAGAGAGACAGGAAATGGTGCTGAGGAAGGGTTGGCATTCCAGCCCCCTCCCTCCTGCCACAAAACTTGCCCCCCGGGAGCAAGGCTCTTCACAGGTGCAGCTCAGAGGGCCTGGGCCAACCCACCTCTGGCCCATGCTGGGACTGATGAGAGCCAGAAGACGCAATCGGAGACCTTACCATAGCTGGGCCCTCTCCTCAGACACTGAAAGACCCAGTGCCTCATACCTGTGCCAGGTTCAGCCTCTCCAAACACTGACAGACTCAGCGCCTCATACCTGTGCCTGTTCAGGCCTTCTCAGGCACCCACAGATCCAGCGCCTCATACCTGTGCCTGGTCAGGCCTCCACAAACACCCAAAGATCCAGCGCCTCATACCTGTGCCTGGTCAGGCCTCCACAGACACCCACAGATCCAGCGCCTCATACCTGTGCCTGGTCAGGCTCCTCAGACACCCACAGATCCAGCGCCTCATACCTGTGCCTGGTCAGGCTCCTCAGACACCCACAGATCCAGAACCTCATACCTGTGCCTGGTCAGGCTCCTCAGACACCCACAGATCCAGCGCCTCATACCTGTGCCTGGTCAGGCTCCTCAGACACCCACAGATCCAGAACCTCATACCTGTGCCTGGTCAGGCCTCTCAGACACCCACAGATCCAGCGCCTCATACCTGTGCCTGGTCAGGCTCCTCAGACACCCACAGATCCAGAACCTCATACCTGTGCCTGGTCAGGCCTCACAGACACCCACAGATCCAGAACCTCACACCTGTGCCTGGTCAGGCTCCTCAGGCACCCACAGATCCAGAACCTCATACCTGTGCCTGGTCAGGCTCCTCAAACACCCACAGATCCAGGCCTCATACCTGTGCCTGGTCAGGCTCCTCAGACACCCACAGATCCAGTGCCTCATACCTGTGCCTGGTCAGTCCTCCTTAGATACTCACAAACCTAGAACCTCATACCTGTGCCTGGTCAGGCTCCTCAGACACCCACAGATCCATCCAGCGCCTCATACCTGTGCCTGGTCAGGCCTCACAGACACCCACAGATCCAGAACCTCACACCTGTGCCTGGTCAGGCTCCTCAGACACCCACAGATCCAGAACCTCACACCTGTGCCTGGTCAGGCTCCTCAGACACCCATAGTGCCAGTGCCTCATACCTGTGCCTGGTCAGGCTCCTCAGACACCCACAGATCCAGAACCTCACACCTGTGCCTGGTCAGGCTCCTCAGACACCCACAGATCCAGGCCTCATACCTGTGCCTGGTCAGGCTCCTCAGACACCCACAGATCCAGAACCTCATACCTGTGCCTGGTCAGGCTCCTCAGACACCCACAGATCCAGCGCCTCACACCTGTGCCTGGTCAGGTTCCTCAGACACCCACAGTGCCAGTGCCTCAAACTTGTGCTTAGTTTACCTCCTTGAACACTGACAGACCCAGTGCCTTGTACCTGTGCCATGTCTGTATCCTCAGACTAACAAGTTCAGTGCCTCATACCTGTGCCCAGCTGCCTCTTGACACACCCACAGGCCCAGGTGCTCATACTGATCACCTCAGCCTCAGCCTCAAGACACACCAGGCCTACTATTCATTCACACTGTGCCTTTTCATGCCATATTACAGATTCTACTTTGTGTCATCAGAATCCTCAGAACTCGCCTGGCTGCAGTGTTTCAGCTGGCTGAGCACTGCCCTGTGCACCAAAAGGTTGCTGTTTTGATTCCTGGTCAGGGCACATACCTGGGTTGCAGGTTCAATCCCCAGTTGGGTAATGTACGGAAGGCAGCTAGCTAATCGATGTATCTCTCTTCTCTCTCTCCCTCCTTCCCTTCCTTTCTCAAAGATCAATAAAACAAAAGAAATCTGAGGGGTACTTGAGCCTAGTACCCCTTGATTCTCTACTGGAACCCCATTGAAATAGGCTGGCCAGGAGGAAACACAGCACAATCTAGAAGATGAAGAAAGGAGTGGGGGCTGGAGGGTAGAAGCTGAGAGGCAAGGCTGGAGAAGGGAGAAGTCTGGGAGGGGTGAAATGGAAACAGGAAACCACTTAGGACCCCCAGTGGTCATCCAGAGAATACTACCCTGGGGGTGCAGATTCAGGAGGTTCAATCAAACAGGATGAATTGGGAGAATGAGAGAACCAAGTGTGACCCAGAGTTCTCTGGCCTGGGTAAAGGAATGGTGGGGGCCCTCACCTGGAAAGGGTCCAGGTTTGGGGGAACCTTACCTGACAGACACAGTTTCACTGGCCACACCATGCCTGACATAGGCTCTCAGATCTCAACAAACAGACTCAATTCTAGAAACCGGACTGAGAACCAGCAAGCCCTCAGACTGACAGATTCCAAGCTGTTGACCTTGGCTGAGGCTAGGTCAACAGACCTCACGTTTTTGGAAAGCCCAGCAATGCCAGTGTCTGACTTGAGACTCGAAAACCTCAACCTGCAAACACAGGTCTCTAGACCTCACCTGTAGCTGCAGTGGGCCTCTTAGACCACATCTTATAGATGTAGCTCCTCAGCCATTCAACAATCTGTGCTGACCTGTGCCCCAGACCTCACTTTATCTAATAAGACCTAACTCTATCTTTTTCCTCACCTGGGTAAGTCAGGCCCTATGCCAACCACACTACAGACCACACCTCAGACTAGTAATGGATCCTCAGGCCTCTAGAATACCTTGAGCTCTGCTCATCACACCTGACCAGGATGCTGACCGAGCTTGGGGCACTCTATCTGTCCTCCCCGATCCTAAGGGCTCTCAAGACCTTCCCAGGCAGACCCAGGCACACATTCATAGAATGACTTTGTCTTTCCCGGGATGAGAGCCCCACACCGCCCATCTGACCTTGTCCAATCCTACCACGGAAGTTCCCACCTGTGTCTGACCCTCCTTCTCAGGACTCACCAGCCACACCAATTATGCATTTCTGGGCTAAATCGTGCCCACTCATTTTGCCTAACAAGCCCAAGGATGCCAATCTGTACCTGAATCCAGGTGGCACGAACCCACCTAAGATCATGTTTCTACACCTCTGCCCATATGACCCTGGATCAATGGTCTCACTGACAAAGCCAGCATTGGGCATGGATGCAAAGGCTTCCTTCCCCTGGGAGGTTAGCTCTGTCTGTGTCCTATTCCAGTACCTCATACTGCACGGTCATACACCCGCCAGAGGCAGGAGTTAGACAGCTCCGCTAATGGACCAAGTTTCCCGTACCTGCCTGCATCTCAACCTATAGCCAACTCAGACTCCTCACACCTTCTTGAGAGATCCGGCTTTATCTACATGGGCTCTCAGGCCTAACTTGAGAGGCCCAAGTCTATATCCTATGCTTGACTCTGCTCTTCTCATCTTCTAGACCAGTGGTCGGCAAACTCATTAGTCAACAGAGCCAAATATCAACAGTACAATGATTGAAATTTCTTTTTTTAAAAAAATATATTTTATTGATTTTTTACAGAGAGGAAGGGAGAGGGATAGAGAGCCAGAAACATCGATGAGAGAGAAACATTGATTCAGCTGCCTCCTGCACACCCCCTACTGGGGATGTGCCCGCAACCAAGGTACATGCCCTTGACCGGAATCGAACCTGGGACCCTTCAGTCTGCAGGCCGACGCTCTATCCACTGAGCCAAACCGGTTAGGGCATGAAATTTCTTTTGAGAGCCAAATATTTTAAACTTAAACTATATAGGTAGGTACATTTTTATTAACTTAATTAGGGTATTCCTAAGGCTTAGGAAGAGCCACACTCAAGGGGCCAAAGAGCCGCATGTGGCTCGTGAGCCGCAGTTTGCCGACCACGATAGACAGATCCAACACTCACAACCCTGCTTACCCTGTGCATCAATACCTCCCTGAGGAGTCACAGATCTCATCAGACATGGACATCGCTGCATACCTGTGCTCCACAGACCCCACCTGAGAGATGCAGTTCTACCTACTTGTGACTAACCCATGTTCCCCAAGCCTAACTGCTAAGACCTGGGTCAACACACCTGAGCCAGAGCCATGTTCCAAGGACTTCACCTTCAGGATCCAGGCATACGTACCTCTAGCTCCAAAGTCCCTGCTTGAGAACCACATCTGCCTACTTGTGTCTAACTTTGGCCCCTGGAGCTCCATAAGGCCCAGTGCTCTGGCTGACCTGGAAGGCTGTACCCTGGTTCTTCAGGCCTCACCAGAAAGACCCAAGGGTACCTATTTTCACCTGAATCCAATACGTGAAAGAGCCAACTCTATCTACCTGCGTTCAACTCTAACTCTTTAAGGTTTATAAGACACTACACACTTGGCAGACAGGCTTTGCCTACCTGCCTTAGACTCTGGTTTCTTAAACTACACTAGGTGGGCCCGCTCTACCTATCCATGGACTGATCATGGGTTCGCAGACTATACTTGATGGGCCAAGTTTATCTAGCTGCATATGACCCTGGCTCCTTCCACTGTACCTAGCTCCTCAGCCACATCTGGTGACCTTTGCTTGAGTTTGGCTCCTCAAACCACACCTAATAGGATAGTTCTACCTACATGTGCTTGACCTGCGTCCTCAGACAGCACCTGGCAGGTCAGCTCTGCCTACCTGTGCTTGACCTTATCTCCTCAGACCACACATGACAGGACAGTTCTACCTACCTGTACATGACCCTGGCTCTTTATACCAGTGATGGTGAACCTTCTGAGCTCAGCGTGTCAGCATTTTGAAAAACCCTAACTTAACTCTGGTGCCGTGTCATATATAGAAATTTTTTGGTATTTGCAACCATAGTAAAACAAAGATTTATATTTTTAATATTTATTTTATATATTTAAATGCCATTTAACAAAGAAAAATCAACCAAAAAAATGAGTTCGAGTGTCACCTTTGACACGCGTGTCATAGGTTCGCCATCACTGCTTTATACTGTACCTAGTGGGCCTGCTTTGCCTACCTGTGCTTGACTTGGGCTCTTCAGACTATACTTGATGGCAGCTCTACCTACCTGTACTGGACCCTGGGTCCTCTGCTAAAATCTGTCAGACCATTTCATACTCCTGGTCCCTTACACTGCAGCAGGTGTGCCAACTCTGCCTACCTGAGCTTGACTTTGGCTCCTCCGATCACACCTGGTAGGCCAGCCAGCTACCTACCTGTACATGACCTACCTACCTGTACATGACCCTGGCATTTTAAAAAAATATATATTTTTATTGATTTCAAAGAGGAAGAGAGAGGGAGAGAGAGAGAAGCATCAATGATGAGAGAGAATCATTGACAGGCTGCCTCCTGCATGGCCCCTACTGGGCATGTGCCCTTGACCAAATCAAACCCAGGACCCTTCAGTCTACAGGCCGACGCTCTATCCACTGAGCCAAACCAGGTAGGGCATGACCCTGGCATTTTATACTGTACCTAGTAGGCCAGCTCTGCCTACCTGTACTTGAGCTTCGCTCCTCAGACCATATCTGGTGGGACAGTTCTACCTACCTGTGCTTGACCCTGGGTCTTCAGACAGTACCTGGCAGGTCAGTTCTGCCTACCTGTTCTTGACCTAGGCTCCTCCACAACTGGTAGTCCAGGTCTACCTACCTGTACATGACCATGGCTCCTTATACTGTACCAAATGGGCTCTGCCTACCTGTGCTTGACCTTGGCTCCTCAGACCACACCTGACAGGCCTTCTCTGCCTACCTGTGCTTGACCCTGACTCCTCCAACCTCACATGGCAGGCCAGTTCCGTAAAACTATAGATGACCCTGGCTCCTTACACTACAGCTGGTAGGCCAGTTCTGCCTACCTGTGCTTGATCCTGGGTCCTCAGACACACCTGGTGGGCCAGCTCTGCCTACCTGTGCTTGACTTTGGGTGCTCAGACCTTATCTGGTGAGCTGATTCTACCTACCTGTATGTGACCCTGGCTCCTTATATTGTACTTAGTGGGCATTTCTGCCTACCTATGCTTAGCCCTGGCTCCTCAGACCTCACCTGGTGGTCCAGCTCTACCTACTACCTGTACTTGACCTTGGCTCCTCAGACCACACCTGTGAGCCAGGTCTACCTACTTGCAAATAACATTGGCTTTTTTTTTTAAATTGATTTCAGAGAGGAAGGGAGAGATAGAAACATCAATGATGAGAGAGAATAATTGATTGGCTACCTCCTGGCATGCTCCCCTCTTCCCCCTGGGCATCAAGCCCGCAACCAGGGCATATGCCTTGACCGGGAATGGAACCGTGACCTTCTGGTTCATAGGTCGCCACTCAACCACTGAGCCACGCCATCTGGGCAGACACTGGCTCTTTATACTGTGTGTGGTGTGTCAGCTCTGCCTACCTGCACATGATCCTGGCTCCTCATACTGTACTTGGTGGGCCAGCTCTGCCTACCTTGCTTGACACTGGCTCCTTAGACCACACTGGGTGGGAAAGTTCTACCTACCTGTGCTTGACCCTCCATCCTCAGACTAAACCTGGAAGGCCAGTTCTTCCTATAGATGACTGTGGCTACTTACATTGCAGCTTGTGGCCCAGCTCTACCTACCTGTACTTGACCCTGGGACCCAGAACACACCTGATAGGCTAGCTTTGCCTACCAATGCTTGACCCTGTGTCCTCAGACCTGCCCACCTGTGCTTGACACTCACTCCTCAGACCTCACCCGGTGGGATAGTGCTGCCTACCTGAGCTTGCTCCTGGCTGCTAAGACTGCACCTGGTGGGCTTTCTTTGCCTACCTGTACCTCATCTTCCCTGCTTACATCTCATTGAATGCATTCGATTCTTACCTGAGCTTGACTGTGACTTTTTAGATTTCACTTGCCAGACCCAGTTTATTAACTTGACCTGATCCTGGCCCGAATAGGTCTTCCCTGACAAACCCTGTTCTACCCACCTGTGCCTAACACACTGACAGAGCCAAGGATACAAACCTGTGCCAGGTGCAGATTCCATAGACCTTACCTGAGAAACTCAATTCCATATACGTGTACCTGGCCACAACTCCTCAACCTCACATGAAATCTCTACAAGATAGGTAGAGAGACAGTTCTACCTGCCAAACCTGACCTTACCTGGGAGATTGTACCTAATCCCAGCACCTCAGATCTCACCAGAGAGATCCTGCTCTATCCACCTGTTTTCACTCCATATTCTCAGAGGTAATCTAAGAGATTCAGTTCTTTGTAGATGAGCCTAACCCTGGCTCCTCAGGCCTCTCCTACAGATCTGCTCTACCTACCTGTGCCTGAGCTCACCAGTGAGACAGAACTTAGCCATGGCTTTTCAGGTCAACCTACCTCTGCTTGCCCTTGATTTCACAGACACAACCTGAAACACTCAACTCTACCTACCTGTGCTTGACCCCAGCTCCTCAGATGTAGAATAAGAACCAGGGCCTGACCTTAGCAGCGCAGAACTTACCTGTTCAAGACCCAAAAGTACTAACCTGTATCTCACTTCAACTTGGACTTCACTTGACACCCTGCTCCACACACCTGCGTCAGACCCAGAATTCGCAAACCTTCCAGATGGATGCAGTTCTACATCCCTTGGCCTGACTCCAGCTTTCAGTCTTTTCCCATCGACCTCTATGCAACACCAGAACTGCTCAGACATCACCTGAGGACAAAGTCTGACCCCGACCTGTCAGAACTCACCTGTCAGACTCAGCTCTGTCTCTGCCTATCTTTGGCTCCAGTTGGCCCTTACCTGACCAACCCAGTTCTACCTAAATGTGCCTAATCTTGGCTCCTCAGGCCTCCTTAAGAAACCTAGTCACACACACCTTGTCGGATTCCAGCACCTGAGACCTCAGACAGATGTAGCTTTACCTGGCAGACTCCAAGTCACCCCTTATTCATTTCACGTCCTGCAATTTCAGTTAACCAGGGGCAACCATGGTCCAAAAATATTAAATGGAAAATTCCAGAAATAAACAATTTACAAAATTTTAATTGCACACCATTCTGAGTAGGGTGATGAAATCTCATTTCATCCTGCTGCATTCTGCCCAGGATGCAAATCATCACCTTTTATAACCAGGTGCATTCTTACCTCTCTCTCATGTAGGCTCCTCTAACCCTACCCCAGCCAGAGCCCAATGCCACAGGCCATGCCTTGCCTAGTTATGGAACCTCAGAGGTTTCTGCAGTACCTTGTGCTCTGCCCATCACACCTGGTCAGGATGCTGAGAGCCCGGTGGTTGCCCCGGCTCAGGGGGCTCACCTATGTTTGTCTAATCCTGAGTTCTAATCACCTCATTTGAGTGATCAGCTACCCATTACCTGACGCTGACTTCTCAGAACTGACCAGAGAGACCCCAATATGTGTACCTGTCCCAGATCTAAACCTCAACTCACAGATCCAGATTTAAATACCTGTATGTGACTTTGGATCCTCAGACCTCACTTGATAGAACCATCTCTAAATACCTGTTTCTCCTCCAGAA